AAGGGAAGAATGGTTAACAGGAGGCTGACCTGGTCCCTTGAACCAACAATATTCTTAGGAGTGAACAAGCAGGTTTTAGGAAAAAAGCAACGAACCAACAAGAAGCCCCTTTCTCCCAACGCATCAAATATGCTCTTAATGCAAGAAATACTATTACGCCTGTTTTCGACAAGTTCAAATCAGCATATGACTTAGTGTGGAAAGAGAAGATAATTCTTAAATTGGCAAAGATTGGTATTAAGCATAACATGCTTAACTAAAAAAAGCCGTCAATGAACATAGATCGTGTGAAGTCAGATACGGAAATGCTCTATCAAAATCCAATCTTTTACAAACAGGTCTTCCACAGGGAGCTTTCACAAGCTGCACCTTTTCAATGTCTTCATCAGTGACACAGCCGAATTGTAACAGACTGTCACGGTCATCAAGTGTTTACTTTATGCAGATAACCTTGTTTTGTGGAATTCCGCCTCTAAGAAAAACGCTCAAGAGAGAACAGCAAGTGCCCTAAATTGTGCACTTAAACTATTAGCAAACTGGTGCGACAACAATGGAATGGTAATCAACAGCTACTGCATTCCAAACATTTCCTCTCCCTCGTCTTAGCATAAACCCGCTTCTTCTTTGGCCCATCAGAGCATAAACCCGCTTCTAAGGTTTTGGCCCGTCACAGCATAAACCCGCTTCTAAGATACAAGGAAATCAACACCGCGAAAACTGCATTTCAAACATTTTCTTTGGTCCGTCACAACATAAACCGCTTCTAAGATACAAGGATACTACCCTAGAAAGAACCAATGAGTTCACATATCTCGGAATGACGTTTCACACAAAGCTAACGTGGAAAAGCCACATTGCTTAAATAGCAGAACGAGTCTCCAATAGACTGAATGTACTAAAGCGTCTTGCTTGTAGGGTATGTGGTTTTAAACGCTCAACACTTAAAACCACTTACAGGATGTTTATTGCAATGAGCCACTCATTACAGTCGCAGAGGTGACTCTCAAACCCCTCCAGAAGGTACACAACCAAGCATTACGACTAATTACTGGAGGGATAAAATCAACACCCATTGATGCAATGCTCCTAGTTACAGGAAGCACTAAAATATGTTCCCTTATCAAAGAAAAGACCTTGATCCTGTATGTGAAGCTACTGCGCATTCCCATGGATAAGTTCTTCAGCACCTATGAGAATAGACCAAGATATCTGAAAACCCAATCTGGTCTAATACAGAAAGCCATAGAACTGAAGAAGGAATTACGAGTTGATGACAAACCAAAAAGCCTCTCTCCATCTATGAACCCATTAGCAGACACTGATGTAGTGTGTTGCACCCCATGAACCTATTGACAGACACTGATGCAGTGTGTTGCACCCAACTGCTTGACCTTAGCAGACATTGATGTAGTGTGTCGCACCCAACTGCGTCTTCAGGGAATCAAACACTCCTCCAGAACAAATGCGCTCACTGCCCCTCGAGACAATCAATGTCAACTCTCCTGCAGATCAATGGCTCCAAGTCTTCACTGATGGAACATACATAGAAAACCATGCAAACATTGGTGCAGGTGTCTATTGTGAACTCTTCTCTTTTTTTCGCAGCAGCGGGACACAATACATCCGCTTTTGAAGGAGAAATAGAGGCCATTAGGATAGCACCATGCCAATTATGTTGCCTAGACACGATATTCATCAAAGCGGTGATACTTTTGGACTCACCGTCAGCGATAAACTCAATTTGAAACAGAGAGCCACCCAAAACAGCTGAAGGCTCTATTGGAAACAGAGAGACACCCAAAACAGCTGAGGACTCAATTTGAAACAGAGAGCCACCCAAAACAGCTGAGATAATAGAATGTAGAAAACTCTATCAGCTGCTGAGAAAGAAAAACAAAACAGTGGTCATACAATGGATTTCTGATTACTGTGGCATTAAATGCAATGATACAATGGATTTCTGATTACTGTGGCATTAAAACAATGAGCCTGCTGACAAAATTGCTAAGAAAGGGACAAAGATTTTAAAATGCATGGACTGGTTGATGTCTATACGCACATCGAAGGCCTTAATCAGGAGAGAATTCCATACCTTAAGGTGCAGCGAACTTAAATCTCGAACAAAGGAGAAACAGTGGACAGTGGCACTCTCACGGCCAAGAATTGAAGCCGTTGCTGAGTTTAGACTACGTACCGGACACGATTGCTTGGCAAAACGCCATCACAGATTGTGAGTATACACTCAACCCACATACCCTCTATGTAACCTACAGGAGCAGACCCACCTGATTCGGTGTCCAGCTCTAAAGACAAGGACGGAAAACTCGAGATACTGTGAAGCAAGAAGACAGCTAATGAACTGCTATTAATTAACTGCTATAAATGTACCCCTTACCCTTGGAGGTAGCTGAAGTCAAAGTTTAAGAGCTAATAATAAATACTTTTAAGCCTGCCATTTGAAATAAATAAATATTTTGTTTAAAGTAAATAAGAAGACATATGAATGCAGTTTTAAATATAAATATCGTGGACGCATTATTCAAGAAATCTTACACAAATACTTGGAAAAATCACGAAAGCAATTTGCGATATTAGCTTTAAAGCAGATCTTTAGAGCAGACGTCATTCAAGGAATACCAAATTAATCGAATGGTGTGCAATTTTTGCCCTTTTTCAAGGTGAGGAATGAAACTAATTAATCGCATCACCTGATGTCTGCAATAATATGCGGAGCAACTTCAACATTATTGAGATTTTAATCAAATGCGTGTCAATTGATGCGCAACAATAGACTAATAAGCAAAGGATGAGAAAACAGTCGATTAAACATTAATAAAAGATAGTCATATTTGAGTTTGGAAACCACACTTTCCGTTATCAATCGCATTGTTTCTTTCTACATTTCGTCTTCACCTTTAAATGAAGGGTTCATATTCACCATATAAATTGAAAATTTAGATTTAAAATGATTTAAATTCTAAAATTTCTTTCTTTTTAGCAAACACATAGAGCTCATTCTCCTTGATTTCATGGAAACATGGTGTCCTGATAGCTACCAAAAGATCAGATTCAATAGGTATAGCAAATCAGAAAATCTGTCAAACTGAACTTTAAAAAAACAAAAAATCTAAACTGATCCTTGTGAACATAATTTATATTTCAAGATTACAAAGGGGTTGATTTAAACCGTGCTGTTGACTTTATATTAATTACATAAATATGATCACTGTCACACAAAAGAAAGTACGTTTATGACGTAAATGATGAAGTGTCAAGATCGATTGAAATTGTCCATCTAAGCGAATGGACTGTAATTGTGCCTCAAAGGATGACAGTTTCTTTTGTGATTGCAACAGTAGAGATAGTATTAGTTGGAACTGTAATACAAACATCAAGGAATGCGAGAACTAACAAAGACTTCAAGACCAACTTCAAATTAATGACAAACTGGGTTCACGTGGTGCACCCTGGGCAGCGTATCCTAATGCGACAAAAAAGTCCACTAACTGGCAGTTGACTTCTCCCTTTAAACTCCCATGACCCCACTGTATGTCATAGTCCACCACCTTTACAGTACATATCTTACCTTTCCTTTGCCTTTGTGTCTGTCTGTCTGTTACATCAGTGAATCACTCTTCTTTCCCCACTGTCGAATTTTTCTCACTTTAATGTTCCTCCCTTCTGTGAAGCCCGAAGTCAGCTAAAGTCTAATGATGACTATCAGAACGCCTGTCATTTCGAATAAATAAATAATTTACACACAGAGTAACCCCAGTAATGTTTGAACCAAGTAGGGTTATCTATTGCCAGATCTGAAGTGAATTTAGCGATAATTCAACTCTACGATTTAGCTCTATCAATTTAACTTAAATTGCAAAATAAAAATTTTCACTTC